GTCCACCATTCCTCTCTTCATCATCATTCATTTGGATCAATCCCACTTGAAGCTTCGATCTTGTTGAGTAGAAAGCATGCACCCTTTCGCTGCGAGAGTTGTTGACAGCCGCCCCTCTGTCCTCCTACATCCGTCAGGTGGTCATAACTGCTTAGCTAGATGTCGGCTTCAGATGTTTTTGAAACCACAGGTTTGTGTGGAGTACGGGAATCGAACACGTGAACACCAGTCTGGACATCAATCCAGTTACTGGCTGTGGACAAGTGTGCTTAACTTCAGTGATCTAACGAGAACTGGTGTCACACACTATAATCCACCACCCCCCCCAATATATTACTATATTAATAGCTAATCCCGCCGTTTACCCGCACTAAAAAGGATTTTACGGGGAAACTAGATTTTCGCTTAAAAAGTCGACCCACTTAACTTAAAATCTCAAACCAAGTTAAGAACATTCCCGTAGGCCTCCCGAGATCCCAAATCAAAATTTGAGGTAAATCGATCCAGGGGTTTCTGAGTTATGATCGGACAAACAAACAAACAAACAGACAAACATACATTACAACTTTATATATACTAGGCTTTTAGGGCGCTTCGCGCCCATCTTCTATTTCAACTTTTAATTGTGGCTTTATCTTTGAGCATCTTCTGTTTGTACAGTATAAAACAAAAACAAAAAAAAGTTTGCGGATTTTATGATATTTTTTCAAGCATTTTAAAATTTTACAAAAATAAAAAACTTTCAAGCACAAATTTTTTAAAATTTTGATCATTCATAAACCTTCCTTGGTATAAGTCTTGTTTAACAATTTTCTTCTTGTAGACGCAACAGATAGAAGAAAAATTAGTAGCAAATCAACATCAAATATTTTTCGACGTAAGCATATCCCCCCTTTTTATTTTTCGCGCACACTCTCTATAATAAACAGTAATTCTATTGCTAAATTAGATACTGCTAAATAACGGTAAGTACTTCATTTTATTTGAAATTTGAAAGCCTGAAAATGTTTTAGGTCCGATTGAATCTGTTAACTTGTTGAATTTACACCGGAAATAGAAATGGAATCAAAACATGTGGTACTAATGTGGGTGTTAAAACACGTGGGAGAAAGGCAATATCTGTTTGACATTCTGAAAAAGCTGTTATTGATGAAATTATTATATATAACTTGTTTATTGATAATTGGCAGGTTTCTATCATATTAAAACTGATTACAAATATAGATGGACAAGGTAATAAGGCAAGGAAAGTTATTTGCTATTGCGTATTCTCATGCGCACATATTGAAACCAGTTCTCTCTAAATGGTGTTTGTAAACAATAATAGATGCATCATTGTTACTCTAGTATTCGAGGAGGATAAAAGTATTTAATTTTGATGGTTTTGATAATTCACATAATAGTTTCCTATGAGTATGACCAGAATTTTATATTGATTTTTTATGTGAAAGATGGGTCCCATGTCCGCTGCTGTGACATCTTCTATTTACTTTACCGCCCAGAGACCGTACACCACAGTACAAGAGATGCGTACACCTCTGAAAAAACTATCTTTACATTATAATTCTGTTGAGATGAGTGGTTTCGGGGTTTTTTTTCATTTCGTTCGTTCATCGTTTGTGAACGACCCATTACATTTGTTTTCTCAGTAAAGGATTGTTAAGTAAATCGTTCAGTCAATAAAAAAAAACAATAGGTTTTCCAAACGGTTGTCATTTTAAAAAACAATCTTTGTTAAGTTTGTTCAAAATATCGTTTGTTTAGTAAAGCACGATAGTTTTTGTCAAAATCTTTTGAAAAATTTGTTCGCTCAATTAAAAAAACGATAGTTTTTTCTCGTGTGTATGAACAATTTATAATTGTTCATTTTGTTTGTTTTGAAAACAATCATCTATACGATCCAAGTCGTTCTTCCAGAGTTTGTTTAAATTTTTTAACAACACCATCATTTACAAACTTTTAGGTTTGTTCTCAAAAATTTTATTTATCCACAAAATCGATGCCCATCTCTAATTACAGGGCTTCAATAATAAAGGTTATTATGATGAAGTCTGACTATTTTTATTTTGATCTTTTGATTGTATTTTTGTCTTATTTATATTAATATAACCCTTTCTACTCAGCTTGTATCCTTACTCACTGTTTTCACTTTTCATGTTATCTGCGAAAAAAATTATTAAGCTATGTAAATGTTTTCCCTAAAGGGACTGTGTAATTTCAATTGACCCTCTAAAGTAAAACCCTCAAAATAAATACTTAAATGGTAAATGTGTACTTGGAAAGTTTTCAAAATATCTATTTTTATTTTTGACAAATATTGAAATGTTTATTATTATTCCCTTGTTTCTCAGTTCAGTTCAGTTTGGATATGTAGCTCAATTAATTAAAAAGTAATTGACTGTGCGGAATTACGCGAAATTGCGCGCAAGTAAAATTTCATTGGAAATATACTGAAGGCCCTCGTTCAAACGAGGAACAAACGATTAAAAAAATCGGAACACACCCAGCTCTATTTACTATACTTATTAGTTACTAAAAATTAACAGGATTGTATTAAACAATACAAACAACTTAGATACATATTTAGTTTTTTGAAAAAAGAAGCAAAAACAATGATGATAATATGTTGTGACCAGGGTAAATAAAAACAGGGATTATCGATGATTTGGACAAGATTTCCAAAATTTTTATTTTGATAAGATTTTAGGCATAAAAAAATTAAATGTGATAAAAAAATTCAAAAATAAAATTTTATTAAAAAAAAATTTTGTTTGCGGATTTTTTTTTGCAATGTCCCAAATATAGTTTTGAATTTTTTTTATTACATTTTATTTTATTTAAGCCTAAAATCCGAACACATAATAGTTTTGAAAATTTTGTCCAAAACATCGATAATCCCTGCTTTTTTTACCAACCCTGTACATATAGGGCCAATTATTTTTTTAACAATATTTTTGAACTAGAAAAAAGAAAAGGGGGAGAACTGAATTCTAATACACTTGCTTGGGAACCCCGCTTTGCCTGAAATATATGTCGACTATTTCAACTTAACATTTTTAATCAAGCTATGGACATTCCCTTGGCGCTTCTGAGTTCCCCAATTAAAATTCGAGGCAAATCGGTCAAGGGGTTCGTGAGCTTTGATCTGAAATACAAACATCCTAACAAGCAGAGATTACCACTTTATATAAGATATATAGAACAGATAGAGAGTTAAAACTATAATTGGTTATTTAAGATGAAAGAGAAACCTGCACACTGTAATAAAGTCACGCAATATTATACCATCATGATAAATTTGGATTGTTTCAGGTCCGTAGCTAGAAAGGAATTGAGTTTTTGCCACAAACTCTGATTTTTGAATCCCTATATTTTTGCAACCCTATGTCGTAGACCTAAATTATTTCAAAATATAAATTCTGTTAGATCAAATAATCTAAGTTTGAAATATCAAAGGTTAACAAAATGAGGTTGCAAAGATTTAAGGATTTAAAAATCTTAGTTTGTGGCAAAGACTCAATTCCTTTGCCAAGAAGAGGGCAGAACTGTTATAAAGCAAAGATAAAGGTAATGATGGGGCAAGTCTCAAATCTTCCGAAAGGGTCTAAATTAATAAATCAATGACTCAAAACTAAAAAACTAGATTTTTAACTTGTCACATATTATATATTCTTAGTTTATTAAAATAGAAATTTGGCCTGTTTTTTTTTATTTCCCTTAATATGTGATATTGAGAATCTATTTCCCTTAATATGTGATATTGAGAATCTATTTCCCTTAATATGTGATATTGAGAATCTATTTGCATCAAAACAAAAAACCTGGAGGTATAATGATGTTATAATTATACTGATACATCATTAAACCTGGAGGTATAACGATGTTATACTGATACATCATTAAACCTGGAGGTATAATGATGTTATACTTATACTGATACATCATTAAACCTGGGGGTATAATGATGTTATAATTATACTGATACATCATTAAACCTGGAGGTATAATGATGTTATACTGATACATCATTAAACTCTGATCAGCCAGATATTATGTAGAGATTTGAGTTTAATATAGCCAATATTTATTTTTACTACACGGAAAGTGGTCTCTAAAAGGATGTTTTTAGTTTTCCCAAGATAAAAATTTTTATAAGAGAAAAACTCCCTTGCTAGCTTGAGGCTGAGTACAAACAGCTTTTTCTAAACCTGACGAATATTGTACAGGGTGTCCCAATAAACATGGCAATCCACTTGAATATTGTCTTTGATTTCCGATAATTGAAGAATGACAAAAAGTGCACCAAAAAAAGATTGAAATTAAAAACTGTTTAAATATATGAACCGTTTAAACAGTTTGGTTGATTTGTAATAAACTGGAATCTGGACAAATTTTCAAATCAAAATTCCAACTATTTTCCAGGATTTTTTTTTCAATTTTGATGTTTCATAAATTTTCCCTGGGGTCATGATGATCATTTCTTATGAAATTTGGGCCCGATCGGTTCAGCCGTTTTTTATATTAAAAACAAATTCTTCTTTTTTAAGAAATGGAAAGAAAAACAAAACATTTATAAAAAGTTTTGAAAATTGTTGGAAAAAGAATAATATCCTTATAGTCATGCCTTTTCCAAGATACGAATTTAAAGAAACTGAACTCTTAAGCAAACTCTAATTTTCTAATCTTAACAATCTAATTCTGTAGATCTTTGATATACATACCAAACTTTGAGTTCTGATAGATCTACTAGCAAAGGTTGAATTATCAAAGGTTTGTACAATTCAATTAGGATGCAAATATATATATAAAGGTATTAGTAACTACAGATTAAGGCATCTTTGAAAAAAATACAAAATATGAGATAACAGTCAATCACTCAATCAATTAATCAATCAATCAATGAAAGAATCAAGAGTATAATAATTAATACGTAGTGTAGGAATTTCAACTGGCACCGACCGACACCGACAACATATACCCTATAAACTCGTTGGTCCGGACAATTAATATCTCTAGAAAAATCTGGTATAAAAGCATAGTGGGGCTTTTATCTATTCAGTTACAAACAGTTCTTCAATGAAAATCTTGGTAAAGAAATGGATTTCATTTTCAACAGACAGTTTGTTTGATACCCCCCCCCTTTCTTCTTTCTGTGTTTTATTAAAATTTAAATACTTTATTAAATTTAATCAAATGTATGCTCCAATTGTGAATATTATTATTGTGATATTTGAAAACTTACTCCTGCTTTTTAATAAACTGAAATTTCATAAAGATCCCTCTGTTAGAGATGGGCATCGTTTTTGAGAACGAACGAACAAAAAGATTGTTATTCAGAAAAAAAACGAACGATGGACCAACGAAAAGGATTCTTCAGAGAAATGAAAAAATTATCTTTTTTAAAAAATGAACCAAAAAAAAAACTAACAATTTAAAATTGAAATTAATATCGTTTTATTTTACTGAACGAACGATTTTTTACAACACACATTTTTAAACAAACATTATTTTCTTCAAAACTAGCGATTTTTTCGTAAAACTTTTGAAAAATGATCGTTTTTATCTGAACAAACGATTTCTCTGATTTGTTAAGTGAAAAAACCAACAAAATAGATAGTATAATTTTGAGAACGAAAGATATCAATTATTTTTTGCACTATTTAAAAAAAGATGAACGAAAAAAGCCGCACGCGCCCATCTCTTAGTACGTATAGGAAATTTTTCATTTTTTTAACCTTAATAACTTTATTTAACTATTTTTTTTTCTTTTAAATAATGAGTTATGTTTTTTAGTCGATATCCATTCTGTTGGTGGTGGCGGTGGCAGCTAGTGATGGGAGACTTAGGAGAAGTACTTCAATAGTTGATGCTACCACAAATGAAAAACGCTCCATATTTCAACTCTGGGGGCAAAAGGCCAAAAACAGACCAAGACAGAGATCAAAGAGAGGAATAGTCGATGCCACTTTGAATGAAAGGCGCACCTTGTCCGAGCTCTGGGGACAAAAGGCCAAAAACAGACCAAACCAGAGATCAAAGAGAGATACATCCATCGCTAATGCCTCTGTAAACGATAGGCGCAGCTTGTTCGAACTCTGGGGACAAAAGGCCAAAAACAGACCAAGTCAAAGGTCAAAGAGAGATACCTCCATTGCTAATGCAGCTGTGAATGAAAGACGGAACTTGTCTGAACTCTGGGGTCAAAAAGCGAAGAACAGACCTAGCCAGAGATCAAACGTAGATCAAGAAACTCCAGTGAAAAGCATCACTAGAGATAGAAGATATGCTGATGATGAGTATACAGATGATGAATATGATCAAGATCAGAGAGAAGATATTTGGAAAATTGAGGATGAAAAATTGTCAAAATTAGTGCACGTTGACCATTCCTTTTATTTCTCAGGAACTGATCCAGTCTTTGTTGCTTAGTTTGTTCCAAACAAATATTTTGGAGTAGTTGGGGTCGATATTTTAGCATACTTACATCCTCTGGAACTGGAAGCACTTGCCAAAATCTGTCCTATAGATGATCATGTATTTTTAGCCGAGGTGTGAAATATTATGTTTACCGTGTTACCATCCTTCATATGTACTGTGTACAAGCCATTTGACCAGCTACTTTTTCCAAATCCTCGAACTTGCTCTCCGATCAAGTTGATAAAATAATTCAGAACAAAGATTCCATGTCGTTTTCTCGGAAGGAGTATCGCCAGCAGGCATAGAGCATCTCATATTTAATCATATGGGAAAGTTTTAGTGACTGTAACCTACTCTCCAATTCTTTTGATTCTCTGCATCAAGAACTGAAGCGATGCAATGTTTTTTTTTGTTTGTGTTGTATTTATAGTTTTCTTAATTAGATGATTCCATTATGAAATTCTAAATTTCATATTTATTTTATAAATAAAGATCTTAAAGGGAAATTATTTTCGCTTATTTCATCAAATTATCAGTCCGTTGATTAGATTATAAAAATATTTAACCTTTGGCGCCACATTTTTACTGAAAATGAAGTTTTTTTTATCAAAATTAAAAACTTTCCCCCCTCCACCCCCAGCTGTTCATGATTTTGACATATTATTCCAGGGAGGACTTCAATAAGTCAATTCTCCCCCCCCCCCAGTAAAATATTATAAGAGACTCATCCATGATGATATTTTTATGTTACTGATAGAGTTAAAAATATAGACATATTTGAGCTATTAAAATACTAGAATATTCTATCATTCAATTAGTTTCCTCTTTCACTTATTTTGCAAGAGCTGGGATTGTGGATATCGAGATCATTGCTGGATCTCGATCTTGTGTTAATCTGCAGATTAATTCAATTTTTCTTCGATATCCAGCATGGTAATATAGTACCCTGTCATGGAGGTTGAAGGGAGCTTTGATCAGGAAAGGAATAATCTTAATGAAGTTATGGAAAGGTGTAGATTTTTATACATCCTCAAATTAAAAATGCTAATTAAAAATGGGAGCAGCTAGGACACTTTTAATGAGGACCCAAAGGATTTGAGCCTTTGCAACAAACTCAAAGGAACTGAGATATTACAACTCAAGTTTTCTAATCCCGATATCTTTGCAAACTGATGGTGTAACCTTTGATAGTAAGATTATTTAATTTTCCAGAATTTTATAGTTTGAAATATCTAAGGTCTACGACATTGGGTTGCAAAGATAATTGAGTAGAAAATCAGAATTTGTGGCAAAGACTTAATTCCTATTCTAATATCTAAATAATTGCAACCTAATGGTGTAGACCTTTGATTTTTCAAACTTTGATTATTTGATCTAACAAAATTAATAGTTCAAAATAGCTAGAGTCAACAATATTGGGTTGCAAAGATTTAGGGATTAGAAAATCAGAGTTTGTGACAAAGACTCAATTCATTTGACATTGGATAGAAATCTTACACGTTTTTAGAGATAACTTCTCTTATTGAAGCCTTGCAGAAGAATAAAAATGATTTGATTTAATTAGCTTATGTGTATTGCCTAAACTATCTAAACAGTAAATTTTTGGCTCAATATCTCTAGGATAAAAATTCTTGAATTTGTCATTTCATACAGTTTTCTTTCTAACTGTCCAAAAAGATTAAATTCGTTGAAATTTCTTAAAAATTTTAAAGATTTTCTGAGGTAAGTTAAAAAACTTTTAAAAATGTGCTTTTTAAAAAAACGAGCATTTTTACGGTTATTCGGAACCAACTCATTTATTTTTAATAATTTTTCAATAATTTCAACCATGATCTGAGTTCCCTGATGGTCAGATCGGTTTTGGATCTTCGTTAAATCTTTTTTCTTATGATAAAAATGTTGCAAAGTTTAATAAAAGCAAACTAATACAGTTTTGGAATCTTGGAAGATTTATTAATTAAAAAAATGGTTCTAAAACCATTACAGGATCTACGAGGTCACAAAGGATCGTACCGTACCAGTAATGTCGCATAAATTCTGCCTTTCTGTTCACGCCTCTGGAAGACTGTAGCCTGGTCAAAGTAAACACTTTTTGGACAGACCCCAGTGATGTTATGCGTCAAAACGATGGATCAATTACAGAAAATTAGCCGTAAACTCAAATAAATTAAATTATTCTTGTTTGTTTACATTTCAAGAAACTTGCGCTTTGCCGCGTGCATAACCAGAGTTCGCTGCAGGTACGAGTTCTCTGCAGGCATGACACCGGACCAAATATAACGCCCGGGCCTTATTTAACGCGACACCGCTATAACATTAGGCAGGTTTTATGAAAGACGACAATTGACATTAAAGAATGCTAATGTTACGCGGCATTCATACAGTTTGAGTTCGTGTTTTAAATATTACCTATGACTTAAGATACTAGAAATTAGGTATAAAGAAATAAACGATTATCAATCAATCAATAAAAATTTCCTAATATGAACCCGCATTTTGGCCCGTAATAGTTCGCCCTCCCCCTTTCATCTTATTAATTCTTTCTAGGCCAGGCACAAAGGATTTGGCCAGGCCACCTAGACTCCCTAGACTCGACTGGTCCTTTTACCAAACCGGTTATTTCCTAATATACGATTTTTGGACCCCCCCCTCCAACCTCCTATCAAATTTGTTCATGGATCTTATATTTAAAACATGGATATAATTGACCGTGTGGCCGCAGCGCCCGGCCCCTAGCCTTTCCTAGCCTCGGCGCTGGGCCCAAAGCCTTTCCTAGCCGCAGCGCTGGCCCCTAGACTGTCCTAGCCGCAGCGCTCGGCTCAGAAAGTGTGTTAACCTAACCTAACGTTAATTATATACAAATAGTGTTGAAATCCGTTGAACATGAACGTCAGTACTGACCGCAGCGCTCAGTCCCCTAGCCTGTCTTAGCCGCAGCGCTCGGTTTTTTTTTTTTGGGGGGGGGGTCAAAAAATCGTATATTAGGAAATTACCAAAAATAAATAATATTTTGATATCGTATACTCGGATGGACCCACTAAACTAATCCGTAACTGAATAAGGCATTATTAGTGTCGTAAATACATTAAAATGTGGATACCTTCAAAACTCCAGGTACAGTCCTAGTATGAAATTTTGGCTCCGTCCTAACATACGATTTTTTGACTCCCCCCCCTCCCCCCTCCTATCAATTTTGTACATGACCACTTATTCTTCAGCTAAAATAATATTATATAGTTTTTAATTATTTTAGAGTTAGGTTAGGTTAAGACAGACTATGGGGCCGGGCGCTGCGGCCGCATGACCAATTATATCCATGTGTTACATATAAGGGTCATGTACAAAATTGATAGGAGGGGGGGGGGGGTCCAAAAATCGTATATTAGGAAATAACTAAAATTTTCGGACTCCCTCTCTGCCCCCCGCCCACCCGTTATCATTTCGGTAAAAGCAACTATTTTTCAACATAATGATGAAATTAATTTTTATTTCAGAGTATTAATATGAAGTAGATAAATATTTCTAAAGTCAGAACTTTTGAGATGTAAATCTCAGGACTAAGCTTTCAGATCTACGTATTAATCCCTGCAGGGACAACTCTCATTAAGGAATCAAGCATTGATCCTTCATGTTCCCAACTTGGATATTGAGATCTAGCGTTCAAGATAAAGGATATCCAAACAATAGTTCCAACCTCAGGTTCTTCAGTTCAAAGGATGGCTGCATACAAACTATGCACGGGACAACTTTTACATATTCAATTATCTAGAGGAATTATTCAAAACTTATTTTATCAACCAGTAATAACAAAATAAAATTTTAAGTCCAATCAATTTAAAAATCATAATTGAATGAAAAAAATGACCTACAAACTGGGAAATAATTATAGCATTTTTTGAGGATTTTTAATTTTTATCTCTTCTTGGTTTTCAATACCTAAGATCTTCAATTTTTGTCCAGGTATTTTTGTTATAAAATAAAGAAAGTTAAACCATTGAAATTTTTAAATTTTATAGAAAAATACTTTAAATTCCACAAAAAAGAAGATTTTCCTCAAAATTAAAACAAATTTATTTACAATATTGGGGTTTTGAATAGAAGAGGAGAACGATCCATTGAAGACGAGAGTAAAACTTGAATCTCAAGAATCTGTTCTGCTTGCAGAATTTGTACATGAAGCTGCAATCAGGTACATGAAGTTGTGATCAGGTACATAAAGCTGTAATCAGGTTCATGAAGCTGTAATCAGGTACATGAAGCTGTAATCAGGTACATGAAGCTGTAATCAGGTACATGAAGTTGCAATCAAGTAAATGAAGCTGTTATCAGGTACATGAAGCTGCAATGAGGTACATGAAGCTGCAATCAGGTACATGAAGCTGTAATTAGGTACACCTAATCAGGTACATGAAGCTGCAATGAGGTACATGAAGCTACAATCAGATAGATGAAGTTGCAATCAGGTAGATGAAACTGCAATCAGGTAGATGAAACTGCAATCAGGTACATGTAGCTGCAATTTGCCTTCAATCGGGTACATGTAACTGAAATGTACCTGCAAATCTATAAGTATTTTGGTTTGTATATTCGGGCTGGGCACAGGCCTAGGAGGTCATATCTGTAGTAAACGCCTACTCCATAACAATTTCGCGGAACGTATCTATCCAGGTACCACTCAGATTATCTTGACCATTAATGTCAACACACAGCTATAATCCCATGAACTATCAACGCCACTACAACTGGGCGCAATCTCCTTAGCTTTTGTTGTCAATACGGACACTAACTATTACACGAGCTCTAAATGACACATAGGGACGCAACCACAGCTATTAAACAAGCTATTAATTGAGCTCTAAATGCCACACAGGGACACAAGCGTAGCTATCAAACAAGCTATTAATTGAGCTCTAATTGTCACAGGGACACAAGCATAGCTATTAAACAAGCTCGTAATTGATCTATACTAAATGCCGATGCAATTACTCTACAATGTAATCAAAGTGGAGTTCCTATATGAACTCTTTATTTTAGATATCTTATGTTACAAGTAACAGTGAATTGACGAAATTACAAGTTTAATCTTCGTATTTATAAGATTAGCAAGGATAGATATAACGTAGTTAAGCTATCTCCAGACATGTTTAAAGCATAGTTTAAGCTGAATGTATGTGTTTAAAGGATTAACATGGATGGATATAAACATTATCACAATGCATGTTGTAATCATATTACGTATCACACGTTTAATATATATATAGGTATGTTCAGGTTAACAAATATTGGGATTGTTGTATTTGTTGCACGTATTTATTTGAAACGCAGTTCAAATGAATAATGGGTTTAACGTAGAAGTTTACAACGTACTGCAGGTTACAGAATATCTTGTTACCCGATATTTATCACAATATCATCGAAAAGTTTGAAATTAATTAATTCAGATGGAAGAATGGGGAGATCAGTGTGTACATTGAACTGTTGGGACTTTTACTTAAACAGCTGAAAACAGCTGCTGCTGCCTTCTCCATCAACAAGCAGCTGCTTAAAGATACAATAGAAGACGACCAGGCAGGAATATATATTTTCTTGAAAATCATTCCTCTAAATAAAAAAAAATGTTATTTTTCATTAAATAGACTGAGCTGAAAACTTTAGAATGTGATATCCTTAATCCCGATCTGTTGACTTTTCTGGAGTTTAAATTCATGTGGAGAACAAGCAATATTTAAACTGGATATTAAGAAAAGGAACGTATTAAGCATTAATCCTGATATCCACCATTCTAAAGTTTTCAGCTCTGTTTACATAATTTCAAGTGACCCGTTAAAGTAGCATGCCCGATTTACAACTGTACCCTTTAAATCTTTATCGGAGCACCATAAGGGGGGGGGGAGATATTGTCTTTTTTCTATTAAAAAGTTTTTTTTACTTTCTGCTGCTGCTGCATAAAATCCGTTGGAATGTCAATTGAATTTACCTCAATTTGTGTGCAATGTAAAAAGGAATTTTAAAATCGCATGATATCCAATTTTTCATTTCAACTGCCATACGACGATTTTAAGGTTGAATTAGGTCTTCTGCCTTAAATATAGTCGTTAAATGGCTTTAATTTCACACAGTCGTCTCTGAAGCCTCGAATTCTTTTTGTGTAACCCTGTATTTAATTTTCCACTTCGAGTAGGAACATATTGAAGCCTGGGACAAGGAAGAAGAGAATGAAGAGAATGAAGAGGGCGAAGAGGTTGATGAAGGTTTGTATAAAAGGCAGAGGGGTGCTTTAAAGGGACTGTAAGCAAAATTTCAGTTGACCCTTCTTGCAAAAATGGCGATGCCCGACTTACAACAATAACCTTGAAAGCTTTGTCTGATCAAGTTTGAATAAGATATCAATGTTTTTTTCTTGAAACTGTTTATTTTTAATTGTGGTTTCTCTCCAAAAGTAATTTGTGCAATTCTTTTTCATTATATATATTGTTATATATTGTTCTGGTTTCGCTTGGATACCATTTTTGGTAATAAAAAGCGATTCTTAAAATGGATATTTTTCACTATATGCTCGACATTTTTCATATGATCATCGTAACTGTTCTTGAAAATGTTTAAGGTTTTAGACTCTTTAATATAGTCTGGCAAACTGTTCCATGGGTTTATCACTCTCACAGAAAAAGAGTTTTTTCTCACGTTAGAATTGAATTGCTTTACATTTAAATTGAAACT